GCGAATTAGTGGAAAAATCCGGTTCAAAAAGCCTAATTCAAAAGATAGAAGCTAAAAAAGTAAATTGCGCAGCACGATCTGAGTGCCACTGACACTTTCGCCACTATTTCTCAAAAACGCACGCTCGAAACCGAAAAAAAATATTCAATTCCTTTAAGGGAAAAATTACTTTACGCTGTTATGCCGAAAAAATCTAACCGAGAAGCCTAATTTCAGAAGTATAGGCGAATAAAGTATACTGTGTAGAGCGATTTCACAGGCACCTACTTTTCCGTTACTCTGGTTCATATATGCACCTTCAATTGTAATATAATTGCCCTACGGGTGCGAGCACAGCCTATTCTATGCAGTAGATATGAAATATTCTAATCCACAATTAAAATTTAGAATGTAATAGAGATAATACATAACTATGTTGCAATGGAATGTCAAGATCGAAGGAAAATTGAAAAGCTATTAAAAAGCTGCGTATTCAGAGTAATGTTGATCAAATATTCCAACGAACTGTCGAAATCTAGAATCTTCTATAAACGATAATAACGGACAATGCGCTAGTATTATAGGATCCCGCACTCCCACCACTTCATTTCACACATGTATCGTTGTACGATTTACTCTATGTTACATCACTTTTTTTCACATATAGTATATTACCACCGAAGAAATGTTCACGGTTAGTTATCTCGAACTTCGTAAAGTAATTAAAACATCAATTAACGATATCGCTGCTTCACGAAACGTTTTGAGATTAAATATTTCACTTTGATGCGTGAGAACATTCCACCATTTGTCACCGGTATGCCCGCTTGCCGCCAACTGGAAGTTGGCTGTAGCCGGATACGCTAGATATTTTTGTAGCGGGAAAATGTTGCATCTTTGAAATAGCTATGTGCTAAAGTATCAATGTGAAATATCAAACGATGTTTCTTATATTTATTAATATCAATGAAGCAAATATAAATATATTTCTGTTAGGAAAAATTCCAAATTTCTATAACTAATTCATGAACTTCAATTATTGATTGTTCCAGTAATGGAAGGATAAACCATTAGTATATACGGCAATAGTTCAAACAATCTATGCAATAATCGCCAATAATTGTTTAGATAACAACGAATTCATATCCAGAATTATATTAGGAAGCTCGTCGAGGCTGTGCCTTTATGATGCAATTTTAAAAGTTGATGAATTAATTATAGACACACATGAATTCACAGATGAAGGTGAGTGATTTTGTTCTTGGTAAAAAGAAAATGAAACTGCAATGGTTATTTGCTTAGGTACTTTTTATTCACTTTGTAAGTTTCACATATACACGTTAAGGACATAATAAACAATCACATATAGGCATTAGAATTTGAGTAGATGCCCGTATCACGGACCGTTGCAAGAAAAAGTATTCACTTTCCTGCACTACTATTTTTGGTGTAATATAAAAAAATGAATTGTTCAATTTTATAGCTTTTATCAATATTGGAGGATAAAGAGATCTATTATTCTGCAAAAAAGAGAAAATGTTATATTTATATCAATTCTTAATATATTTTCTTATAAACATTAAATTTACTTCATCTCCAAGTGCTTCCTCAAGTTTAAGCATGCAATATATAACTTATCCAGTAAGTTTACCAAAGAATGTATGTTTATTCTGCAAATCTGGTTATAGAACTAAGAGTAAAAAAGAATTGGAAATTATTGTCATCTTTTCCAGCATTAGCCATAGGGATTAAATCTCGTCGACAAAAATGTATAAAGTTCGTCCTAAAATACATATATCCAATAATTATTTTTGAATTCATTTTATTTTTAAATATAGTGTTACCTTAAATGGTTCTCCATATATTTTACCACCTTCTCCTGTACTTATGGGATCACCACCTTGTGTTATGAATCCTTTGATAATTTTATGAAATATAGCATCATCCTGACAACCTTCCAAATTTAACAAATATATTAATTTTATTCATGTGAAATGCTTTTGAAATCAAATTTATTAAAATTTTGTCATTTATTATTGTAATTTAAATTAGAAATTATTTAATATATTAATATAGAAATTTAGAAAGTAAATATTGTATATCGGTTAAATTTTTAAAAACAGGTAAACAATCCATTGAAATATCATTAACTAATACTTATTACTTTACCCTTAGTGGCTGGCTCTTGCATATAAATATTACTCATGTTTGTAAGCCTCCTACAATGAAAAAAATTATTTGTTAATAATAGTTTATATTAAATCTTTAGTCATTTATAAATCAGTCAACCAAGTGGTTCTTTTCTCGAATAATCATAAACAGGTAAGACGTACCTTTTACCTCCTTTTAACATTTGCTTTGTTGGCCCAATCAATTATATGTGTCACAGCCCCATTATTGCTGCTGCTTTTATAATTTCCATGTTCCTATAAATATTTCTACACATTTATGACCTAATGTAACATTTACACAGCATATTCAATTTATCTTTACCTTTCATAACTATTACCACGTGTTCATTCTCCATTTATTCAATCATCCTCATATTTCTATGTCGACACCACACATTTTTCTCTGTTGGTACATAGGCTGCTCTTTTTTTGTTTCTTTATTCTACATAATATGTGTTTGCTCCTCTCATTCCTTTTATTTAAACATCCCCCTTTTCTTTATGTATCTCAGCTCCATCATTCTGAAACTTAACACATTAGCGGTGATCATTGACTGTGACTACTGATATTGATATTTATTTAGATCAGGAATAGAACATACCTTTCAATCTCACTGTATTCCCCATATTTTGTTGTTATAAGAGGCCATCACCTAAATTAATTGTATTCCTTTTTGTTTGCCTAAACCATCTTCATTTTCTGAATCTTTATTTGACTATCAAAAATTTCTATCTTGTATGCCATATGGTTAGCTGACTTAGAATCCAATATATATAT